ACAATAAAAAAAATAATATATACTGAAGTTCTACATTTTCATGGTAAAATTTTCCTTTGTAGGTTCCCATTTATTCACATTCTGAGTCTTTAAGAGAATTTGTCATGAAAATTTGCTTTACAGAATTATCACAGTTGGAAATTGATCTTAAGTTTAACCCACTTCAGTTATTTTCAAATTTTGGAACAAATAAAAAATACTTCAATTTTACAGAACATCTCAGGATAACAAGCGTTACATTGGGAAAAAAATGAGAACATTATATTAAGAAATGTTTGTTACACATATACAGGACGGTGGTTGGTCACTGAATCAGAAACATTTTATCTAGATAACTTCCTGAACAGATTTATTAACTTTTTGAATCACCCGAGGAGAAGAAACATTATTTCTTGGCTTCAAGAACTCTATGTTATAGGTTGACCAAATATAAAAATTTCAACCAGATGCAGCTTGAGAGCAATTGTGATTTCAATGGAGCATATGCTTCAAGGTATGCATAAGTATGAAGTGCCAAGGGAGTTAAGAATCAAGAATGTTTTTGTTTGCTTGTCTTTTATTAGGGTGTACAGGGAAGATTTCTTGAGTTAAATATGTGAAATGGCTTCTGAAAGACTGGTAGTATTTGGAAGCATTAGTCTTCTCTAGCAAGGTCACATCAAGGAATGATCTGTAGATTTGCTCAACTGGAAAGTAAATATTTCATAGAAAACAATTGGGAACAATTGAAGAACAGAAATGCAGCTTTGGAGTCAGATAATAGAGTCCTTTGAATATCAGGGCAAAATTTAATAGAAATGTTTATCTCCCAAGTAATATGACACAAGGTTTTGGCATGGAAGAACACATCAAATGTTTCTGGATCAGAGTGCAAAGAATCAAGGGGCAGGGATATTAGCATATTGTTCAATCAACACATATCTCTCACCTTATGATAATAGAGAACCTTAACTGGAATATTTACTGTGAGAATAAAAACAGGTAATAGTTAAAGGAGAAATGTTGAAAATACAAATTTTAGGTTTATGTGACTAAATGATTAGATCTATGGAATTTTTAGAAGCAAGAGAAGGTGCAAAGTCAATAAAGATCAGAGATTCAAGAAATGCCAATACTCACAAAAATCAATACATAACTATATTTCTTCTTAACTCAAAGAGTAGATTTACAATTTAAAGTTTGAGACAAATCTTTTCTCTTGTGCTAAAGAGGTATCTTAATTTGCCTGTCAATATGCACATATTGCATTTAATTTCTTGATGGAAGGCCAACTCATGTATGAGTTTTTTTTTGTGTGTGTGTGTTTGTATTATAGAAATGTTGTTGTCGTTATGTGCCGTCGAGTCGGACCCGACTCACAGCGACCCCTCCTTGGGTTTCCAAGGCAGTATCACTATGGAAGTAGATTGCCCAATCTTCCTTCCAAGGAGTGGCTGATGGGTCTGAACCGCCAGCCTTCTGGTTAGCAGTCAAGTGCCTTAGGCACTATGCTACCGGAGCTCCCATTATTGAAATAGTCTAAGAATATAACATAAATTGTACATTGCATTAATATATTTTAACTCTAAAGATTGTGTTTTTAATTTGGGGAATATTACATTTCTAATTGGAATTTAAGTTTCAGTGTAAATATCTATAATTTTAAACTACAAATTCTGCTTTGTGTGTTAGTTGGGAGTTAAATCTACAACTTAAGTCTATTTAGAAAATGTGCCTATTTTAGTTAAACAAGAGGAAAAAAATTATAAAATGCTCAAGTTGCTTAACAAAACAATTCATTTTTTAGTTAGTGAAAACTTTGAGTTAATAAAACATATTTTGTACAGCAGTGACGCAATAATAGACCCTGACAGCTATAAATAATAACTTTCACGACAGTGCAGTGGATCCACCCTCTCAAAAAACGATCCTCAGCACGTCCTTCCTCTCACAAAATGGTCATTGTTTTTATTCTGACACTGCTTAAAGTGTTGTTAGTTAATTGTATTTGTGGAAACAACAACAACAAAAACAATCATTCTAAGATATAATGAGAAAAAATAATAACATTAGAGTTCTCTTTCTTTAAATGTATTAGTATTTGATGCTATTTATAATTGATTTTCCCATTAACTAATGCTGAAATGCTGGGACATTTTCAGTATGTTTTCTCTAATAATACTAATGTTTCTTTTGCACATCATTATATTTCAAAATTTTATTTTAGTAAAAACTCATAGCTCTTAGCAGTGTTAGCGGAATTGTAACTGTGATGTGTTTTGCTTCTTTGTGGTCTAATATCTAGAAGAGTCACTTTGTCTTCCAAATATTTTCTGTTAACTCATAGATTTTTCACTTAGAAAGGCAATCTGAGTGTGGAGTTAAATGGAAGAATTCTAAAATTTAATATAGAAATGAAAAACTTATCCTAACCTTAAAAACTTTATATAATACCATAAACATTACAAGACACAGACAGTAATATGATATATTTGTTCTCTCCAGCAAATTAAAAACTATAGTTAACTGAGTAATTCCTATAACCACAAGTAGTCTCTTATCAGAATCTCTTGATTATTCTAATAAGAATATCTAAGTGAGTAAAATAACCTTGGTGCTACACATACAACTCTCTGATAGTTGAAAAGCTCTCTAAGATAGGTACAAGCATCAATTTATACAGTATTGCCTGGAACTTTGAAACATGAATGATGCAATGAATCAACTTGTTCTGACCTTAATTTTGTCACTGATGATCATATGAGGATAGTGAACATAACAGAAATGCTATACTCTAACCTTTATATTTAGTGACATAAAATGATCATGACAATACTATAATGACAAAAGAGGATAGTGAATTGTGTAATGACACATAGGTGATCAAGTTAACATATTAAGACATATTTCTTTTATATGATGGAATTATAGGGAATGCAAATTTTGACAGAAAGAAAAGATAAAGGTTTTAAAATGAGTACATATATAGAAGTAATTTTTAAAGGTGGAGGAAAAAATATCACCTTTAACCAGTAGTCATGTGCTGATATTTCAATAAATGAATTATGAATAGCCATGGCTATTTGCAATATCTATTATAGTTCTAGGAGCTCTGGTAAAATAGTGCCTAAAGCACTTGACTGCTAACCAGAAGACTGGTGATTCAAACCCACCAGCCACTCCTTGGAAGGACGATGGGGCAATCTACTTCCGTAGTGATACTGCCTCGGAAATCCAAGGGGGAGTAGCTATGAGTCGGGTCCAACTCGACGACACATAACAACAACATTATAGTTCTTACTATTATCACAACATACTACTACTCTCTGGTAGTGCCAATAACTGGGAATAATAATAATAAAAAAAAAACAGTGAATAACTAAAATTTAGAATAACAAGAATGGGGATATGAAATTGTGCATCAGGATTATATATATATAGATATCATATATATGATATATAACACATACCCCTTTTGTGTTTCCAAGGCAGTATCTCTATGGAAGTAGATTGCCCAGACTTCTTTCTGAGGAGTGGTTGGTGGGTTTGAACCCAGCCTTCTGGTTAGCAGTCAAATGTCTTAGGTACTACACCACCAGAACTCCTCTTCTGGTTAGCAGTCAAATGTCTTAGGTACTACACCACAAGAACTCCTATATATGTGTGTGTGTGTGTGTGTGTGTATGCATGTATATATATATATATATATGACAATGACAATGAAAAGGAGAAAGAAAAAAGAAAGTTCCCGTAACTGATTCAAAAGAGAGGTAACAGTGTGTAAAATGTAACAGAAAGGCAAATGGCAAAATATTTCTAAAATATAAAACAAATATGCATTTTGTCCATCATAAACTGATAAAATATCAAATTACTTCTATATATGTACTCATTTTAAAACCTTTATCTTTTCTTTCTGTCAAAATTTGCATTCCCTATAATTCCATCATATAAAAGAAATATGTCTTAATATGTTAACTTGATCACCTATGTGTCATTACACAATTCACTATCCTCTTTTGTCATAGTATTGTCATGATCATTTTATGTCACTAAATATAAAGGTTAGAGTATAGCATTTCTGTTATGTTCACTATCCTCATATGATCATCAGTGACAAAATTAAGGTCAGAACAATATACATAATGGATACATTTTATGGTTTTTGTGTGCACTATTTTTGACCTAAACATCAAAAGCATTTGCTTGACATAAGCAATATAATTCCTTTTTTCTATTACTGTCAATTTTTCTACAAGATTCATATATTGAACAAACTTAAACTCTAATGTAGGATGTTAAACAAGAGAATAAATTTTCGGTTCATCAAATGTACATATGTGTCTAATTAAGAAATCCCTATATGCTTCCAAAGCACTTTTTCTAGTTCTTTTGCCAGGAAAAAAAAAAAAGATATATTTGTATTGATACAAAGTTTTCCTCTTGATATATGAAGAAAGTAAATTAAATAATCTAAGGATTATGTTTTCTTCATTCATGGTAAATATAGATCAAAGGAGGGAAAAAAAGTGGGGAGTAGAACATATCATGACTTTATAAACCAAAAATTTCTTCAAAGAGTATAATATTCCTCAGTGTTCTTATCACCACCCACCTCTTATGTTCTTTTTATTGAAATTATTTTCTATAATATAAAATTTCCTTTTGTTCTTTTAATTGTACTCATGCATTCATCTTTGTTAATTTTCTTTCAAATTCACAATTGCTTAAAAACAATAGTGTTTTATAACTTTATATAAATCACCTTGACAACACTGTTTTACAGATCTTGAGTAATTTTTTATCTATAAATGAAGTTAATAATTTTAATAAGAAATTATATTTTTCCAAGTATTGAAAAATATGCACAATTTGGCACAAATCTACAGTCTTTAATTTTTCTTTATAATAAAATTTTCTTTCCTTATAGATAAATTCAAATATTATTCCAATTAAATTTAAAAAAACTAAGTAATCAAACAGTGCTATCTAATCCATAACATGAAGAAGCGATACTTTACCTCACTTTTAAATTCCCTTGTTGCGGCTGTCCATCATAAACTGATAAAATATCAAAATCTTCTTCCAGAGCAAAAGTATGAAATGACAGTTGTATCCTGTTGCGTTCCCCTGTGATGATGATCCAGGTGCAGTTAGCGTAGTTTGGATAACCATGAGGAAATCCTGGACTCTCAATAGTGCCATTGGGGCCCTGTACTAAGCCTCCACAATTTTGACCTGAAAAATAAAACACAGAAAACAACATAGTGTTTTGGTCATCTTTAATCTATAAATTTTAATTTTCCAGCATTTTGACCAATTTTTATAATGAATTATTTTGTGATTCTTAGTGCACAAGTATAAATTGTAACAGTGTTTCCAGTGCAGAGACAGGGACAGAATAACAAAAAGAAAAGAGGAGAAGAAAGTAAATATACAACATTTCGGTACTCATATTAGAAATTATGAGGATTTTTTTCTGTCATTTTCAATACAGATTTCTCAATATCAGACGTCTATGTATCTAAAACAAATTTGTGCCAACTCTCTGTGTATCATCATGCTAAACTGCACATAAGTCCCTTTTTTTGGGGAAACTATATTCATAAAATAACACCTCCCTACAAAACAAACAAACAGAAAACAAAACTGCCATCAAATCGAGTCTGACTCATAGTGACTCCACTGGGTTTCTGAACCACTAAACCTTTACAGAAGTAGATTGTCCTATATTTCTTCCAGGGAGTGGCTGGTGGATTTGAACTGCCAACCTTCTGGTTAGCAGTCAAATGTTCTAAGTACTGCACCACCAGAGCTCTTTATGGTATGAAATAAAACCTGTCAAACTATATGCATATATACATGCATGTATTCGTAAATCTAAGTGACTTCACTGGTAGCATAGTGGCTAAGACACTTGCCTGCTAACCAGACGGTTGGCGGTTCAAACCCACCAGCCACTCCTCGGAAGGAAGGTTGGGCAATCCTACTTCCGTAGTGATACTGCCTCGGAAACCCAAGGAGGGGTCGCTATGAGTTGGGGCCAACTCGACGGCACATAACAACAACAAGTGCCTTCACTGGCATAGTGCCTAAGGCATTTGACTGCTAACTAGAAGGCTGGTAGTTCAAAACCACCAGCCGCTCCTCAGAAGAAAGATTGGGCAATCTATTTCTGTAGTGATACTGTCTCAGAAACCCAAGGAGGGGTTGCTATGAGTCAGATCAACTGGATGACAGTAAGTGAGTGAGTGATGTGACAATATAAATAGAGAAAATCATGGTCAATATACAAATCTGTTGATTTGCACCGACACTAGCTAAAGCCTTTCTACATCAAGGAATAAAACATGACCACAAGAATGTATCTGCTTGAAAATAAAAGGCATTAAATGAAAGCCAGTAAATAATGATCGCATTGAAAAACCCTGCAAAATAAGAATCCCCACTATCAATGTTTTCCTAATTAAATAATAGGATTTAGATAGGTAGGGTGGTGGAAAATGGAAGAAATTAAAGAAAAGACTTCAGAGTTAAAAACAGACAAGTGTTTTGGCAGTTCTTAAGTAGGTGTGAAAAGAGCTCTAGTGGAAAAATGGTTAAAACATTTGGTTGCTAACAGAAAAGTCAGTTGTTTGAACTCACCAGCAGCTCTAGGGGAAAAAGATGAGGCTATCTACTTGCCTAAAGATTCACAGCCTTGAAAAACATATGGGGCAATTCTACCCTGTCCTACTGGGTGACATGAGTCAGAAGTAACTTGATAGCAGTGGATTTGGTTTTTGGGAAGCAGGTGTGGGTTTGCAGGATATCCCGCTTTTTACTCACTATTCTTACTGTAAGATCCCTGAAACAGGTGAAATTTAGATCATTCTCAGTGTCCAAGATTTACAGGAAAATTGGAATAAAGAAGGAGGGGGTGATGCAATTGAAGTAAGACACTCATTTCTCTGCAGCACAGGTTTATCCTTAGCTGTTTATAATAAGGCAGGAGTACTTAAAATTCAAAGAGGAATGAGTTTGGACATGGCAACAATGAAACCTGGAAAGGTGGTGAATTCAATCCTAGAGAGGAAATCAGGTGATGCTCTACAGAGTGTTCCAAGCAGTAATTAAAGTAATTTGATATGAGACATTATGAAGCCACATTCCCTCACTTAGCATGGTTAGGGATGTGGGGTAAGGTTGGGAAGTGAGATAGGAAGCTGGTTCCAAGTTTTGTCTCTGCTGCTGATACAGTCTCCTCAAACTTTATGTTACAGATTTTAACATTGCCCTCTTCTGGCAATTTCCTGATTGCACGGACAGTTGAAGAGACATCTCTTCAGTAAATTGCTGGCCTCAGAATTACTACAAAGGTCTTCTGCTGAAAGGATAGATTTTGGGTGGTTAGTAACAACCATATACATTGACCCATCAATTTTAGTCCCACTATTAGAGAAGCTCTAAAAATCCCTTCCTTTTAATCTTTACCAAAATGTTTCCTTTTGGCTACTTTCAGTTCTTCATCCGCCTACAATAGCAAGTCACTGAAGGCTTATGAAGGAAATCCTTGTGGTTGTTTAAATGTTATTTGTCCAGTTATCTCTAACAGTCTGCCTACCATAACTGTACTTGGATCTATCAGAGTGAATGAACAAAAAAGAGTAGAAGCTATGATCAGGACAGATACACATCTTTGACAAATATATTTTATTTGAATTTTAAGTATTACCATCAAGGGAGGGAAAAGAACAATTTCTACCAAATCATTCCAACACTTAATTTGTCTGAGGTTAGCTATTTAGTGGCTCCTGGAAACTGTTTGCAGTGTTTTATTCCTTCTTAATCCAGCTATTGCCCACCAATGTGTTTGAATGTATTTAAATGTTTTGACATTTAAGAATATTAAGAAAGTTGGAGGGACCCAGGCACACTCAGATTATTACATGTGTATAAGTGCTTGAATAAAAGCATTATCCCAGGTTTTTTTGTTATTGTTGAATTGCAAACAGAACATTACTTCCAACTATATTTCATACTTAAAAAATAATATTTCTCTATAGTAGGTCTCAGTGAGCTCCAATCTTTCACAGTAATATTATCAAATGCTTGTGGGAGTTTGCTAAATCTTAATAAAAAAGATTTAATGAAAGGGATTTATGAGTTTAAAACCAAAGAACTAATAAGAAGCCCATTTTCCACTAAATTTAAACCTAACAATAACACTGTAACAAGTAGATATTAAAGCTGTGGGATTTTGAAAGGTCTTTAAAGAAAATAGCTTTTTGGGTTTATCTAGCAATTCTTGCTTCACAGTAAATCAAAAAAGTAGAGAGTTGATTATAAATTGGAGAAAAGAAAAATAAATTCAACAGAAAATGTCAGCTAAAAAGTAGTTATTATTATAGACCCATCATAGTGAAGCAGATTATCAGATATTAAGATTTTTCCCCCAAAAAAATAACACTTAGGCTACATTTAGGATACAAATTGTTACACAGTGAGTCATATTTGTCGAATATATAGACTTTTCCTGAGGCCTGCTAGGAACTGGGGAATGGCTCAAAAGTTCTGAAGCTAGTAATTCTCAATCTTAACCACACAGAGCTGTCACCCAGGAAGTTTTTAAAATATATAAACCAAGAGTTTTCAGTGGCCAATTCTTTGAGAAGTGAGTGGCCTCTTCTTTTTTCTGAGTTTGTTTCAGTCTGGAAGCTCCACAGAAACCTGTCCATCATGATTGACCCTGTTGGTGTTTGAAATACTGGTGCCATAGCCTCCAGCCTGACAGCAACATGGGGTTTAAGCAATATGAGTTTTCACTATGTCAATCTGCCAGCAATTTAGTCAAAATCTCCTTGAACCAAGAAAGCATTGCAACTTTTCCATAAGACAAAAGAAAACAAACATATATATCTATCTGTACGTATATAAGTATGCCATATGTTCTAGTTACCTAGTGCCACTCTGACAAGAATATACCACAAATGGAATGGCCTTAACAAACAGGAGTTTATTCTCTTAGAGTTTGGAGGCTTTAAGTCCAAGTTCAAAGTGCCAGGCTCTAGGGGCTGTGTGAAAGCCCTTCGACCTTGGGCTTCAGCTCTGCCTCTTGTTCCCGGCCCACTGAAACTAGAGTCATCTTTTCACTCAGGCAGCTACTAGCTGCTGAGGCTAACAAGCCCGAGGTCAACAAATGAAACAGTGCCATGGCAGGCTGCTGAACAATGACATGGCTACATGAAGGGTCCAAGCGTGCCATAAGCTAGAGACCATTCCCCAAGGCTTATGCTTATATACAGGAAGCAGACCACATCCCTAACATAGCTACTCAGCTGCTTGTGGTAGATCCCATCATGGAGCTGATTGCCAGTCTCATTATGGGGAATAACTACCACCAGCTGCCCAGCCACTCAACCAGGCCCAACCAAGTTAACACACAAACTGAACTACCACACCATATGAAAATAATTATTTTGCTGAGTATTATCAATACAATGGCATGAACTAGCGTTCCGCAGGTTGTTGTTGTTGTTAAGTGGCTTCCAGTTGGTTCCAACTCATAGCAACCTTATGTATGTACAACAGAAGGAAACACTACCTGGTCCAGTGCCATACTCAAAATCATTGCCATTCTGGAGTTCATCATCATAGCCACTGTGTGGTGTAGTAAATTACTTTGTGTGGCTTTTCTACCCATAAGTCTTTGTAAACTCCAAGGTGGGATTTGCTATGAGCAACTGAGGAGCTCCTGATTGCTGAAGGTGTCCACCTGGAGTATTTCTGTTGGGAGTGGCACAAAACAATGTTCTGGGAGATGCCCACTCTCTCTCAGGTGCTTAGAGTTCTGATGCTATAATTGGTTAGTTTGACCACCCTGCGGGCTGTAAAGGAGACCTCCTGGAGGCAGAACTCTCTCTGACTGCTGGTTGAGGAAGACGTGCTGCTGAAAGAGACACGGGCTCCTGAGACACGCATTGCTGGGAAAGAAACGCAAGAGACACGCATTGCTGAGTGAGACACCGAGGGACCAGCACTGCTGGGAAAGAGACTGTGAGAGACTGTTGGCTGAGGGACGGTGGGCTGGGAGAGAGACTGAGCGTTCTTCCTGAACTTGAGTTGTAGCTTGGTGCTTCCCTAATAAACCCTGTAATCTGTGAGTTCTGTGTGGCCACTGCAGTGAATTATCGAACCCAGGAGAGAGGTGGTGGGTGCTTTGGGAGGAACGGTTGGTTAAAGGGCTGGAGGGAGGCAGCATGTTTGGCCTTGCAGTAATAGGCCTTGGGTTACTGCTGGTAATCCTGTCTTCCTCTTGTGAGATTAGAGGAGGTCAGAACATGTGGCCTCCTTGCCATTTTTGCACACTGTGTCTGTGCATCGTATTGAGGGTTTTCCCCTTTTTTGTTGACACTCTACTTTACCAAGCATGATATTCTTAACCAGAAACTGATCACTTCTGACAACATGACCAAAGTACAAGAGATGAAGTCTGTTCATTCTTGCTATTAAGGAACGTACAGGCTGAACTTCCTCAAGATAGATTTGTTCTTCTAGCAGGGTATGGCACATTAAATATTCTTTACCAACAAAACAACTCAAATATGTCATAATTTTGTAGTCTTTTTTATACATTGTTCCAGCTCTCACATGCATATGAAGCTATTGAAAATGCAAAGGCTTGGACAAAGCATACCTTAGTCTTCAAAGTAACTTCTTTGCTCTGTAACACTATAAAGATTTTTTTTTTGCAGCAGCAGCAGCAGATTTCCCCAATGCAATACATCTTCTGATTTTTTGACTGCTGCTTTCCTGTACATGGACTAAGGATCTAAGTAAAATGAAATCCTTAACAAATTCAATCTTTTCTCCTTTTACTATGATATCCTGTTGTGATGATTTTTGTTGTTTCATGTTGAAGTGCAATTCATACTGAAGATTCTATTCTCTGTTCTTCATCAGTAAGTGCTTCAAGTCATCTTCACGTTCAGTGAGCAAGGTTTTGCTATCGGCATATAGCAGGTTGTTAATGAGTCTTCTTCCAATCTTGATGCTCCATTCTTTTCATATAGTCCAGTTTCTGGGTTTATTTGCTCAGCATACAGATTGAATATTATGATGAAATGTGCAAAGGCCTAGAGTTAGAAAATTAAAAGGGAAGAACACCCTCCACATTTCTCAAGCTGAAAGAACTGAAGAAAAAAATCAAGCCTTGAGTTGCAATATTGAAGGATTTTATGGCAAAATATTGAATGATGCAGGAAGCCTCAAAAGAAAATGGAAGGAATACACAGGTCACTGTACCAAAAATAATCCATCAATATTCAACCATTTCAGGAGGTACCATATGATCAAGAACCAAAAGTACTGATGAAGGAAGTCCAAACAGCTTTTAAGGAATTAGCAAAAACAAGGTTCCAGGAATACCCATTGAGTTGTTTCAACAAATGTATGCAAGGTTGGAGCACTCACTCCTATTTTCCAAAACAATTGGAAGATAACTACCTTGCCAACAGGATGGAAAAGATCCTTACAAGGAGCATGTACATAGACTAAGAGGCAGTCCTTCAAACTGAACAAGGGGATATTGCATGGTTTAAAATCAGGAAAAGTATGAGTCAAGATTGTATCCTTTTTGACATATTTATTCACTCTGTTTGATTAGCAAATAATCTGAGAAATTGGAGTATGTTTTCTTTCAGATTAAGCAGTATTCATCCCACATCTTTACTAATCTAATATTAAATGGAGAAGCCTGATTCATAGCAATTACTTTACAGTTGTAAGTCTTATACCTTTATTTTTATGGAAAGTTCATGCTTCATAAAGAACTCACAAAAACAACTGACAAAATTTGTAATTAAGTTAATCTTATTTGCCAAATGAGAAGAATGGAAATAAATCTTAATACATTTCACTGACATGCGTATTTAATTCAGGAATCATGTTAATGTATTTCAGAAATAAATATTATTTCAGTGATATAAAGCCTCTTTAATGGAGTACAATGAAGTCATATATGAATGCATATGGATTATATATGTCATCTGTATAGATTTTTAGAGTTCACAATGTGCTTTCCGACAAAGAAAGGCTATGAGACTTGCTGTAAGATCATCAGCAATGCCAAAGTTCGGATTTTTAACTCAAATATTCCTAGCAAATGTTTGGTCCATCTCCTTTAAAGATTTTCCCCTGGGGTCTTAAACTCTAAGGAGTGGTTCCTTGCTACAGATATACTACATATGTTTTCCTTCTAATTGATTTAAATCTAAGAATTATTTAAATGTTCTCCCTAAGTACAGCTTTAAACAAACTGATTATTATAGCTGGAAAATATATATTCCTTAATGGGCAAACGTTTAAAAGTGACAACATAATGTTATTTTAACATTAACCTATGTCGTAAGTTCCTAAACATGACTCTTATAAATGCATTTGTAAGTTATATATCCTGAGGTCAATGAAGTAACCAGTAGGGTTTCAGTGATAATTTTAATCTGTTCATTAAAATTGTATCATTGTTTTACAGATGTTTTACAATGAATATAAACAAAGAAATGCATAAGTGAATGAAGTCCAATAGGTTTTTTTTCAAGCGCTGGCACTGGAAGTTATCTTGGAAGTAGCATATATACATATAAAAATGCATGTATACTGTAAGTACACATCACACAGAAACATACATGCAATTATACATACTGATGGGACCTCTGGTAGCATAATGCCTAAGGCACTTGACTGCTAACCAGAAGGCTGGCGGTTCAAACCCACCGCCACTCCTTGGAAGGAAGATGGGGCAATCTACTTCTGTAGTGATACTGTCTCAGCAACCCCAGGAGGGGTCGCTATGAGTCAGGTCCGACTTGACGGCATATAACAACAACAACAACAAACATACTGATAAATTTTTACTTGGTACAAGCAATTCAAAGAAATTACTCTCAGAAAATTTGAACACATGGTATATTAAAAAAAAAAAAAAAAACTGATATCTAAAGCATATAGCAGGTGAATTATAACTTAGGCAACATCTGGTTCATGGTGTACACATTAGTATACCTACACACAAAGACATATCTTAAGGCATGACAACAAAATATTAGGAATGGAGGACGCTTAGTGTTAATCTAGTGTAAATTTCTACCCATTTTAAATGTCCTTGATTTTATATTTAAATACAGAATGATTAAAAATAGTCCTTTAAATGTTGTCTCATAATTTGAGAGTGAGGGAGTTTTCAAAATTTTCATTCATAATCGTACTTAGTCATCAGAACAGTCCCACATGCTTATTTTATACATGTGAAAACACTGGAGCAGAGTTGTGAAGTGAGTTGCCCAAGATCTCCTGGAAATGAAGCAGGGTGTTCTGTTGCCAAAGTCTTATGCTTATTCCACCTTATCATAGCTGTGCACAGTACTTGAGCACAAAGGAAAATGCAATATATTATGGATTCCAAGTGTGCTCATCAAATCTTAATGTATATCACAAGGCTTAGCTTTAACTATATAGTAAGATAGAGACTAAATATAGATAGTTAGGAATTTTAATTCCAAAACTTCTTTCTTTCATGTAAGTAATAGATGCTTATTGTAGAAATAAATCGAAAGCATAAAGTAGCCTTTAAAACTACTAAAATGCTCATGATCTCATTATCAAAGATGATTAACAGTGACACTTTATTGAACAATTTTCTAAATATTTCCAATATAGATATCAATTTTAAATATGGCATTGTATTACCTGGTGTATGACACATGACAAATACATTTTGTGTTGCCTGTGCTACAGACTGAACAAGAACTGGTAGTAAGGACTGAATGTAGGATTTATCTTACTTTTGAGATATCTGGTGTCTCTGTGATTAGTATTCTTTATTCTGGAAAAAAAGTACACTAGATTGCTGCTGCTTCGGCAAGGACACTACAGGAGAATATATGTGGATTCCTGGCGAGCAGTTTAGCTGATGATGGTCAGACATGAGTGTCACCCTGGAGAGCTGTGATACACATTCCAGGTTGTCAGCATTCATCATACCCTGTGAAATTCCTTACCTGGAAAGCCAGTCTTGGGAAGACTCATCTGAGGAAACAGTATCATCCCTTGTCATTTCTGAGATAAAATAAACTCTCTACCCCAAATGTTCATTACATTTGATTTGTATCACTTATAAGCTCTAGCACTCTAGCATGTATTGCTACTTAGCCCATTCCTTTTCATTTCCTTGAATAAGATATTTGTTGAGATGATTCATCTTTGAGTCATCCTCATTCATTGTAAGCATTTGGTAAGTTAATTTGTACATACACAGATGCCCTCTCCAATTCCATGTGTTGTTGAAATTTTTCTGATTCCCTCAATTCTGGGCATGACCTGAATATGATATTTGAAAACATATGTGCTAAGCACTTGAGGTACACAATTTTTTTGTAGTTCTTACACAGTCTCTGAAGTAGAAGATAGCTTAACTGTTGCTTTCCTTGGTGTTGTAACATTGGGTCAGATAAAGCTTTATGATAAGGAAATGCCTCTGACATTTTAAAAAATAAAAAAAATGAAACACTCTCTGAGAACAAATGTTGGCTATCTGGGACATTTTCACATGTAATTTGGTTCGGTGACTCCAGGAAAATGTGGCCTAGATATGTAAAGATCATTTACAGAAATGATATCCTGTACTTAATTCTACCAACAAGGAAACAAGATATAAGACAAATGATTGAAGAGACTGCAAAGGAGTAGTCTGAAGTCTATTCTGAATGAGAAGACTAGAAAAACATATACTTGTCTCCAACTACCTGGCTGGATCTCATTTAAAAGAGGAAATAGATTTCTGTGTTAATATAGATTAAGAGATGAAAGTATATCATCATTACAACTGTGTCTCTCATTGAAGACAGAGACCAAATTGATCTTTATGGTGTATATCCTGTTTGCGACAAACTCAAATCAGACTGACTTATTTTGAAAATAACATGATTCAGGAAAAAAATATATTTATTACATTCGTTGACTGCGTCAGTCTCCAGTCATTCCCCGTTTCTGCTACATGAAAATGACAGTGCATCATTTGATTTTCACATCTTATGCAAAGAATTATGCAAAGGAAGTTTTAATTCCTTTTCAAAAAATTGATTTTTGACATTTGAAATTTTGAAAGTTTTGTAATATTACTCTATTGTACACCTATAAGCTTGCGGGAAGTCTAAAATTTGCCTGCTCCCATTGGATATAAGTATGTAATAACTTTCAAGTAAAAGAAAGTGGTCCCCTGTAACCTTTGTTGAATTTTTTGTTTTCTTTAATAACTAAGGGCTGTGACATACTTTTAGTAGATTCAGAATTTCAAATATCAAGAGACTTCAAATTTCAATGATGAAAGTGGAAGATTCTCTGATCAGTAAGTACTTTTTGAAGAGGTAAACAAATCAAATATGCATTAGCCTCTGTTTGCATTATCTTTCATTGTTTCATCAGTAATTTCAGGGTTTGCAGAA